TATATCCCTGAGGGTCCATGTACTCATATAGTATATACATTGGGCCCAAAGTACCTATACAGGGACTACTTTAAGGCAAAAGTATATACTATTTGGGTACATGGACCCTTTGGGTATGGGTAGTTCTCTAAATTAGGGTCCCTTTTTAGGTCCCCAATATAGTACGGCACCCTAAGGCAAAAGTATATACTATTTGGGTACATGGACCCTTTGGGTATGGGTAGTTCTCTAAATTAGGGTCCCTTTTTAGGTCCCCAATATAGTACGGCACCCTTAGAAAAGGATCTCAAAAGGGACCCTACTTTAGAAAACTCCCCAGATAAACTCCGAAGAAAAAACCCCTGACAAGGCCTTATCAAGAAGCCCCAATACATACAAACAAAGCTGGAAACCCTAAAGTCTAAACCCTAAACCCCTAAACCCCAAACCCTAAACCCTAAACCCCTAAACCCCTAAACCCTAAACCCTAAACTCAGACTACCCCATAAGCCCAACGCCTTCGACTCGACTGAGGTTTGTGGCTCTGGAAAGATTGCGGAAGCCACTTGGTCGGATCAGATCCCTACTTTAAGGGACCCTACACCCTAAACCCTATCTGTAAGGGACCCTAAACCCCCAAACCCTAAACCCTACCCTAAGGGACCCAAAACCCTAAACCCTGAACCCCCAAACCCTGAACCCCTAAACCCCCAAACCCTAAACCCCTAAAGCCCCAAACCACGTTATGGTTTAGGGTTCAGGGTAGTGTATATTTCTTCTACTCATTTAGGCCCAGAAATCCTACAATCCACAACCCCTGACTTTTAAGCACCCCCTACCATCTGCAGACCTGCAAGGGCGACGCCCTTGTCCTGAGTGCCGGAACCGAGCAAAGGGGACCTAAACCCTAAACCCTAAACCGCGGTTTCTATTACAGCGCCCTAAACCCTAAACCCTAATTACAGTAAGGAAACCGAAGGCTTGGGCCCTACCCATAGGCTCCATAGTAGTTCCTTTTCGGGATGGCCTTAGTATGATAAAGGAGGGAACTACTATGGAGCCTATGGGCAAACCCTCGAACCCAAACCCTAAACCCTAAATTGTAGGGAATATATCCCTAAACCCTAAACCCCTAAACCCTAAACCCTAAATTGTAGGGAATATACTGGGATCTAGAACTTTTCAGGCTTCTATGCCAGGACTTGTTTGAACCCCACAAAGAGACCCAAGGGCTCCCTGTAAGAAACACCTGGGGTCCTTTCAGTAGGGACTTTTAGGGCTTTTATATAATGGGGTTTTAGGGTTTAGGCTTTTGGGGGTTTTGGGGTTTAGAGGTTTGGGGTTAAACACGGAGACGAGATGACCTGTCCCATACCTTTTCGCCACGGCTCGATTCGAGCGGAGAGAAAGGACAGTTGCACATCGGTAGGAAACCCGAAACCCTAAACTCTAATGACCTCAAGCCCATACCCTAAACCCTAAAAATCTAAAGGCCTAAAGCCCAAGCCCCTAAACCCTAAAGATCTAAAGACCTAAAGCCCTACTAAAAACCAAGAACCTTCAGCCCTGGACCCTGAACCATGAACTTTAAACCCTAACCCCCAAATCCTAAGCCCTGAAAACCTGAGCCCTAAACCCTAAATCCTTAAAACCTAAACCCTGAAACCTAAACCCTAAACCCCACATTCTAAACCCCAAACCTAAACCCTAAACCCCTAAAACTAAACCTATGAACCCTCAAGCCTAAAGCCTAAACCCTACAGCCCTATTAAAGATCGAACCGAAGAGTACCAGGCATTCGGAGATGGCTACAGGCGCTGCGGAGGAGCCACAGGCTCTGCTGCTGGAATCAGGGCTCTCGTGGGTGGAGGGTGTAGGGCTTATAGGGTTTTGTCTTTAGGGTTTAGGGTTTAGGTATGGGGTTTAGGGTTTAGCGGATGGTGTCGGGTTTATAGGGTTGAGGGCTTAGGGTTTAGGGGAGGGTGTAGGGCTAATAGGGTTGTATGGTTTTGGGTTGAAGCTTAAGGGCTCATGTCGGATAATACTGAAGCATATATATGTATGTATGTATGTATGTATGTATGCATGCATGCATGGATGGATGTATGTATGTATGTATGTATGTATGTATGTATGTATGTATGTATGTATACAGCGTAGTTTTGGCCGACAGTACTACAGGTTCAAGGCATCGGGGTCAGGTTTGTCTAGTGGGTTTCAGGTTCAACGCTTCGGTTTGGCATGTACGTAGGCTGTCCCTCGGGGCCTCGGGGAACCGTACCTTAGTCCGGGAACAAGAACTTTCCATGGTAAGCAGGTCGCTTTAGGCATTGCGCTCCAAAGCGGACAGAAACATATCCCACTGAAGCCTACCCATACTGCCTTGTAGGCATGCTATCTTTCACAAGTTTACAGTAAGGTTCTCCTGTCGAGCTCTTGTTTCAAGGAGTTCCTAAACCCAAAAACCCTAAACTTATAGGATCCTTAAGAGAGGAACCTAAGGGAGTATTATGTCGAGCTCTTGTTGCAGTCCTGGCTTGCGGGAATTAGGGCTGAGAAATGGACTGTGTCGGGATGCAGCTGCCTGTAATTCCATTCAGGGAGTTCCAAAACCCAAAAATCCTAAACTCTAAACCCTAAACGCCTAAACCCTAAACCCTAAGCCCTAAACCCAAAACCCCTAAACCCTAAACCCTAAACGCCTAAATCCGGAACCCTACACCCCTTAAGGCTCACTGGCTCAGCAGGCCACCGTTGAACTTTCAAGGGCAGAGGAAGGCCTCGCACAAATTGCAGCGGGTTTAGGGTTTAATATATGCGCCTAAATGATTACTTATACTATTTTGGGTGGTTCCCTATCATAATTATAGTAGATTATGCCCCAAAACCCTATTCTAATCAGTAAGGCCCCCACATTAGGGTTTTAGGCCCCAAACCCTAAACCCTAAACCTTTAGGACCTTTGGGCTTTCAGGGCAGCTGACGGCCTGGGCCATGGAAATCAAATCTTGAGCTACGGAGGCCAAGTCCTATGACGTATGCAACCCTACCTTAAGAACCCAGAACCCACTTTTTTGTACGTTCTTGCTATAGACCCTAATATGGGATTTATAGGGACCCTACAAAAAAGTTGGTTTTGGGTTCTTAGGGTATATAAGAAACCCAATGAATCTTGAGATTCCGTATCCAGCCGTATGACAACAGACTGGGCATTGCAAAATATCCTGTCAATTGAGGTTTACAGTTAGGGTTCGTAGGGTTTTATTTGTTGTCCAACCCTAAGGGTCCGCGTGCCCAAACAGTACATACATTGGCCCTAAAGTACCTATATAGGGACTACAAAAAGGCCAAAGTATATACTATTTGGGTACATGGACCCTTAGGGCAACTTTGTTGGGCCACGGAACTCAGCAACCGAAGAAGGTCAGCCGTGCCGGCTCCGACACCAGCGACTGCTCCCAAGCTACCCGGAGTAACTGTGGCTGCAACGATTGTCGGTCTGTCGGCTTTAATGATATGAGCAGTTGATACGGTTTTCGATGGCTTTAAGCTAGAAGGGTCTCTTTGTCTCCAATTACAGATCTCCCTATATGTACAAGGTTAAGACTCAGATAATATAGTGATTTTCAGGATTGAACAAGATTCTGTAAGGGGCTGTATGAAACGAAAGAAGAGGGTTTTTCAACGGCATGAAGCTTTCGGGTTTTGATGGGGATGAATTGGGGTTTAGACCGGGTTTGGGGTTCGGGGTTCATGCTTTGGGCTTCTAATCTGAAGGGCTTACGGCTTCTGGAGTAAGGTCAGGAAATTGCAGAAAAAGGCTTGTACACCATAGAAACGCGAAGGTGTAGTGTATGCTTTGGCCTTGAAGTAGTCCCTATTCGGGTACTTTGGGGCCAAAGTATCTACTATTTGGGCACATGGACCCTTAAGGCAAGATGCTAGATAGTCAGCCGTACAAGGTCATGTCGCCCACTGATCCCGACTGCAGGGCTCTTCGTATAGTTTGCGGATATGTTCGAAATAGTATGTTATCTTATTGTATTAGTACAACAGGTGCTGTATTTAGTGGCTTACTTTTCGGGTTAATAGTCAAGTTTTCTACACACGGAGCGTTCGCTGCTTCCTATGTCCCTCGAGCTTTAAGAAACCCTGGACCTTTCACACCAAAGCCCCCCTAAAGGTACAAGTATGCCACTAGTGCACAGGTTGGGTCCACGGATGTTTTTGCTTTTGTATTTCGGGGTCTTGAGAATTTTATTCTTGTCGGACCCTTCGTATCAAGATCCCCCAAATGCTACGCGATACAAGATCTAAACGTACGAAGCCTTACGCCCCAAATCTGCTAGCCAAAATACCCCAGTGCCTCTTGCCCCTGAAATGCAGCGACCCAGCTTAGCTAAGGCGAAATCTGGAACCCGTATGCAGAGATCGGGGAGGAGAGCTCTTGTTATTTGCAATAGGTGACTTGGTAGACTTGCTTGGTCGGGTTTTCACCCTACTACCTAAACCCTAGGTAGACATATAGATCATGTAATATGTACCACTATATACGTACTTATGTGTATATATGTATGTAGACATGTGAGCACATGTGTACATTATGTATACATGTACGTGTATACACACGTATATATATACACATATGTACACACCTGTGTATATATATATATATATTATATACGTACATTTCTACATATATATATATATAGAGAGAGAGAGATGTGTGTGTGTGTGTGGAGATGTATATATATATATATACACATATGTACATACTTTTCTTCCTTCCTACCGATCTATCTATCTATCTATCTATCTATCTATCTATCTTGCTATCTATCTTGCTATCTATCTTGCTATCTATCTGTCTATGTGTGTATGTATGTATGTAT